ATATACAAGATTCATTGTGCAACACGTTGGGGTAATTGTGGTGTTCTCACGTTCTCACGTTAAGCCTTGTTCTCATATATATATATATATATATAGGGAAGAGCTCAAATAAAAAGAGGTTCTCCCGTGCAAAGTGCAAACAATTGCACTTTTTCAGCACCGCGTTGCACTTTTACGTGTTTTTGTTGCACTTTTTCGCGATGGCAAAAAACTTTGTTTTAATTACGAAATTGCCACCGCGTTTTTGATCAAATTTAGTTCATTTTTGGTTCATTTTGAGCCATTAGATCTCGAAATGAATGCACGAGATTAATTCTCACTTTGCATGGGAATACCTCTTTGTATTTGAACCTTCCCCTACATATATATATACATATATACATACATATATATATATATATATACATATGTATTGTGTAATACATACATACATATATATATATATATATATATATATATATATACACACACACATATGTATATATATATGTATGTATATAGGATCATTAATGCACCTAAAGTTCCGGACTACTATTTCCTTGAATAGATGATATATTATCCTCAGTACAAAGTTTCACACACACACACACACACACACACACACACACATAGGATCATTAATGCACCTAAAGTTCCGGACTACTGTTTCCTTGAATAGATGATATATTATCCTCAGTTCTTTTTTAGTTGCAACATTCCCTTTTTCAAGCTTATCAATGCATAACTTTGACCATCATTATATTTAATTCCCTATTAGTAAAAAAAATTTAGAAATCAAATTATGAAACTTTGTACATGTAATGAGACGAATCCAACAATATTTTTCAAAAAAATAATAATTCACATACATTAATAAATAAAATGTAGTCAAAGTAGTGTACATGAATAGTATGTAAATTTCAATGTTGAAACTAATATGATACGGATGGAGTATTTAATTGATATTTTAAGTAATAAATATGGTCACCACATGCACTTAAATTTAATAATTGTGTGAGTGCACTTTTATTCGAATCAATTTGCGCATTGAACTGAGAAGGTTGCACCATGTCTAAATAAAAGATTCTCAAGTGCTACCGTGCACTTATAATGGTGCACATGTTATTTTTACATTGTGCAATGATATGTGTGGTCTACTACTTTTTTGTGATCTATTTATTTGTGCAATTAATTTGCAAGTGTTCACATTAATTTATGCAATATATTTACATAAATTTAATGTCCGGAATTACATTTTATGTGGGTCATTCTATGATACGTATGTTTTATTTGATTTTTTGTGCACTTCCAACATTTAAATATGCATTTTCTAGTTGGTTTGTAATTGTTCTATAATATTCAAATATTTTTACATAACACTTTGATTGCGATTTACTTTAGAACTTTTTGATACAATAAGTTGTACTTGTGAAGTGTATCTAAAATTTATTAACATGCACTTTAAGTTACATTGATTTGCATTTTTAATACTACGTATGTCAATCTTACTTGTGCACGCACATGTGTGTGTGTCATTGTGAATTTTTTTAGTAAACATGAAGTCTTATAATACAGAGTACAATTTAGATGCACATTTCTTCTTTAATGATGCACTTAATTATTTGATTAGATGCACTTTTATGCGATAGTCAACATATATTTGTAAAAGGTGCATTGTGCATCTTAATCATGAAATTATACCTTAGTGCAAAAATGGATATCTAAGGTGTACGATAAAAATACGTAGTATAAGAAATTGACATATCCATGATATCAATTAATAATAGTATGTTAAAATAATTTGTGCAGACTACATAATAACGATTTTCAAAAGTGCATAAAGGATTTATAATAAAAGAATATGTAAATGAAACTAAAGTTACACAATACGATAAATAAATAACTAAATAAATAAAAAACAGTCATGAGAGGGACTAAGTGATAAACATATGTAATATGAAGTCTAATGGATTATACAAATCATAAGAGAAATAGAAATTATTTTTTTTTATTTTTTTAAAGAGATTTAAAGGGGGACAAAGGGAATAATTTTTGAGAAATAGAAATTATAAAGCATAAAATTAGAAAGAAAGATATAAAGCAAAAGAATAATAGTGGAAATAGATAACTCGTACGGATAAGAAGAGAGAATTAAATGAAACAAAGAAATAGGGGGGGGGGGGGGGGGAGAATACAGATTCAATGAGTAAAACAAAGAAATGTAGTGAAATGTCATATTAGCCCAAAGAGTGTGTACGTGATGATTCCTAAAACTAGATTAACCAAATTTAGCGGTTAGTTTCTGTGAGATTCGATCCCACATAGCTGTTAGTTTCTGATTATTACCAACATCAGCATCCATAGAGATATGCAACCACGCATTTGTTAATGCAATGTCTTCTTCAGAGCTCCAATCTCTTTTAGCAATTGCAGATCGTGTGTCATTGGAACTTTTATTGACACCTTTGTTTTTCTTTCTCCCTGTTCCACGTGCAGTTTGAGTCTCTGTGTCTCCACTTGGGAAAATAGGAGTGTTCAAAAGATTTTGGAATGGGAAGGGAGTTCCATAAGGTAGGGTAGTATATGGAGGACAAGAACCGCTCATTGTATTAAATTGATATGAAGGCTGAAACTGAGGGCTTATTGATGTAAACTGGTTCTGAGTTTGAGCAGAAAGATTAACAAAATTAGGATGTTGGGAGCTAGGAAGCTGATCAGATCCATGTTCCATGTTGAAATTGTATCTGTATATTATCAACAAAACAATCAGAATATTTTTTTTTGCCTCCTAAAGGATTTCAGAACAATTGTAATATATCAAAGCTGTACTTTGAACAATCAGTTTCCCTTTTAATTTGCATATCTAGCAGCATAAATGAAAAGCAAACATTAAGCAAGTTAGAATCACACAGAAATGACATTAATGTAGCTGCACAAAGAATCTAAATGAAATAAAATATAGCTGCAGAAATGAAAAAGCAAACTTTTATACTCCATAAAAGAACGATGATTGTCCATGTTAATATAAAACTAGCTAGTAGCACAATAGCTATTCAAAAGTGCACAATACTGCAATAGTTGTTCAGAAGTGCACAATAGCTGTCAACAAGGATATTTCCATATACTTCTGCTTAAAAAATTTAACCCCAAAGACACCACTGATAAACTCTTCGGATTCCTTAACAGCCCCCATGGAAAACAATTCAGCAAGTATGAAGATAAAGATATTTGGATAAAATATACAATATCAAAGTGAGAGAGCAAAAAGTATTTATCAATATGGGTGATTAAGTCAAACCTACTCATTGAGAATAATCTCATAAATCCTTTTCACCATTCTCTTTGACCTGTAACTCAAAATAGATTCACCCACTCATATATCAAAGGAAGCAAAACAAAATAATTAAACAATCAACATAACCCATCAAACAGTTTTGTGTTGATGGTTTGAGTAATATTATCTGAATATAAGGTACAATTATTCAGTTTTGGGAACATCAAAATCGTTTGAGATTGCAATAGGACAAAAGGGACTTCCTTCTCAAGCAAACCTAATATTAAACAAGCTCTAAACATATTATACGCATTGATTTCTCCAGCTTTGAAAATAGGAGTGTTCTAAACATAACTCATTGTTTTCTCCATCAGATCTATTTCACCCTATCACACTTAAATTTAATGTGAAATAATCAAAAGTGGAGCAACAATTCAAGAGCAGGTAAAAAAAAGATACTTCAATTACTATGAATTCATTTTTCTCTCGATGAAATGGTTAAAGAGGGAAAAAGTGGCATACCTGAATCGCCGACCTTCGAGCAGATTACACTTCAGTTATATGGAGAAAATCCTCTGCAACAAAGGAGGGTTTATATACATGCCGGTAAAATAATTTCGATTCCCTCGGTTTTTTTTATAACCCCGCCTTTTCTTTCCCTGGATTTATTTCGATTCCATCAAATTTTTTGACAACGGCGCCTTTTCTTTCCCTGGATTTGACGAGTCAGCATGTCTTCGAGGCTTTCTACACTCGGAAAGGTTCTCTCCATAGCGTTCAATTTTTTTTTTCCAGCTCAGCAAAACCAAATCAAAGACTACCTGCATTGGATGGGTTAATACATTCGTAGTGCGTAATTGTATGAGGTGGCAAATAATAAATAGACTAGACGGCCAGCGTTGGAGTTGCTCTAACCAACCACTTGTATGAAATTTACCCTTGTGCCTTTAATTACTTATGATATTGCGGTCTTACTATTTTTAACACACTAATTATGGATGAAAGAAGCAATTAAGATTAAACAATAGCGGTCCGATTCAACTTATCAAAGGTTAGATTTTATTCTTATACTCCCTCCGATTCGAAAAGAAGTTCCACTTTTCCTTTTCGGGCAGATTCAAATTTAAGTTCCACTTTCAAATATTTCCTTATTTGGCAAATTATCTACATCAAAACAGTGTCAAACAGTGTCAAACAGTGCACGCCACAGTAAAGTCAAATTTATTTTCTTAATATGTGTGAAGTCAAATGTGGAATTTGTTTATGAATGAGAGGGAGTATATATATACTGGGGTATAAACTACTCCCTCCGTCCCGAAAAGGTTCGCCAACTTTGACTTTCACGTAGATTAATAAAATAAAAACTGTGTGGTTGAAATTTGTGCAAAGGAGAGAGAATTAACTTTAGCCACATATTCCTTATTTTAAATGGAAATGACAAATCTTTTTGGGACATCCAAAAAAGGAAATTTGGCAGATGTTTGCTATTCGATGAGTTGGTCTTTCATCGTGCAGACGTTTGGCTTATAATTGTTGTTGGGGAAAATTCCCGAAATAGGAGTAAAAAAGTGTGAAAATTCCAAAATAGGACTGTCATGTTTTTATTCCCAAAATAGGAGTAATTACTGTCAAGTTTGGAAAATACTGTGATGTTTAAAGTCTAGTACTGCCAAAACATGACAATAATTAGTTATATTTTAGGAATAAAAACAGTTCTATTTTGGAATATACAAACATTTTTAGTTGTGTCATCTTTGTTTTTAAAGTAAGGTCAGCCATGAATGCTTGAACTTTGAAGTTGAGCTGAGAACGGATCCATGGCGGGTCTACGTCCATTGGCATCATCCAGCATCTTCAATTGCCCCATGCTTTCTGGTTCCTATAACGCGCACCGGTCATCTCTACCATCCATTGCTTCGCCGCCGAGTATTTGCAACAAAGCTCCCATTCTTCAACTCCGCTCGCAGCGGAGTCAGAAGAGAAGAGGCAGCTCGTTAGTGACGCGCGCCGGGACCAGCAACTACATATTTGCCTTTCTTTTCCCCATGACCCTGCTTGCCGTTACCGTCCTCATTTCCATCCGCATCGCTGATAAGCTCGACCAGAAGTTCCTGGAAGAGGTACCAATAACTTTATAGGAAGTGATATTATATTTGGAATCAGGACCAGTTTCTTGAGGTTGGAGAAGGAAACTGTGGAGCGCATTTAATAAGTAAAAAACTTTTAATCAGAATCACTTATATAGAACCTAGTACCCTAACATCTCCAAATTTGGGGGTTTAACGTTCAAGGGGTGCTTCTAAATTCATATTCAAATATTCATCAAATTGATTCTACTTTTCAGTGCTCTTTGAATGGGTAGAACCAGTATTAAAAATCTGTTCCAAACATCCCATCATATCACTGCAGTTCGAAATCTTCTAATTCTCTAAAAGCAGAGAAGGAAAAGAGGAAATGGTTTTTATTTAAAATCAAGAAAACAGAAAACTATATACGTAGTATTTTTTATGGTAATAAATTAATGATTAGTATCTAGATTCTTGAGCATATACTACTTCAATCATTTTTAAAATTATTGAGCTAAGTAATATTTGCTTAAAATAAGATATATGTCCTCCTCCCTTTTAGTCCCAGACCCCTCCCCCCTCCAAAACATAGCATAAACGATTTGGCTTTGAGTTTGTTTCATGTTCGCTTTAATTCGTTCTAGTGATACATAAGGTGCTGATTGTTCCATTGACTGCTTGTAAAGTTCCTGCTAATGTATAAAAAGTACTGCATTGCAGACTTACAGTAAGCATATATTTCTACATATAAATATATAATAATCCAATAAGTTATTTGATGTTAGAATAAGATATGCTTATTTTGTCCTAGTCAAATTTAAGTAAATACGTGGTGCAGTATAAGTTTTATTTATCTTTACTGTATCAAGCACCAAAATTAGTTCTAGAGAAGTACTTCTAAGTTTGCTTGTGCTTGTGAGAAGTGACTACTTTTAGAAATTATAGAGAAAGTGTTTAGTGGTAAAAGTTTGTAGTGTTTGAAAATAAAAGTGATTATAAAAAGTAGAAGTTAGAGCATTCAGTATTTTTTTTGCGCAATTCATTCCGCTTTTGGTCCTATGAGTTTTATGTCAATTCCACATTTAGTCCACGTCTTTCATTTTATCCACTTTGGTACTTGACAAATGTTTCTTGACCTTTTGTGGTCCTTTTCCGGCGATTTTAATCACCAGAAAGATCGACAGAAAGACCATATATGGGTGAAAAACAATAATCAAGTATCAAAAGTGGACAAAATGAAAGACGTTGACTAATCGTGGAATTGACATAAAACTCAAAGGACCAAAAGTGGAATTCATTTTTTTTGCGTACTAGTAAGATGAAATATTGTAGAAAACGCGATTGAAGCACCTTTACTTTAAATGGATTAAAGATAAGCAGAAGTACTTATTTTGAAACACTACTTTTATCTTCTGTTAGGTAAAAAGCACAAAAGTTTTTTTCCAAACAATTGCAAACACTCTTTAGATGCTAGGTAGAAGTGTTTCAAGAGTATTTGGCACACCGACAAAACTATTCTGCTTCCAAGTGATCCTCTTAAGTACTCCTTGATGGAGTAGAGTTGTTTTTTACTTTTTAGAACCAGATCCACACATCCTTTGATGTCTCATTAATTATTCCTCCTCTTGTTCAAAATGTTTCTTTTTCAACGTTCCATTTTTTTCTATATAAGTGTCTGCTTAGGATTTCAAGATAAAAGTTTACTAATTGTTCCTAATGTACCCATGATCTGCATTGTTGTGAGTTCTTATCTCACTAATTGCAGTAATTAATCAAGTGTTTTTATTTAGATATTCTACTCTTATTCTTAAGTAGTGTGATTTCTTCGAAAAATATACTTATTGTGAACTAGAATCAGTATTAGTGTATTACTCAGCTAATACACGTGAGCAGTACCAAAAGAGATTAATTAAGGCCATACCTAAAAAATGAAGAACTAAAGAAATACTACTACAAAACATAGTAGTGGTAACTGGAGTGTATTTATAGGACTGACCCAATTTGAATAATAGACTTTTGTAGGACAGAAGTAGTATTAAAGAAGAGACTTAGACCAATTATATAACCAAATATCCCGAATCAATCCGCCAACAGCCGAACAAGACCATGGTCTCTTTGTAGTTGGTGATATGTGTAGAATAAGGCTCTAAAAGGCATGAGGCATGGAAAGGAGGCAAGCCCAAGCCTTTAGTCTAAACATGGAAAAACTAATAGAGCTATAAAGTTATCACAGGTGAGAAATAGTTTCAATATTGGCTTAACTTAAAAAAATTAATATAACTAAAAGTTTTCACCTTTTGTGCCTAGATTGTGCCTTTACATGTCTTTAGCGATTAGACTTACTCATGCCTTTTCACATTTGTGGTGATCAACTTTTTAAACGACCCTTTCATGCTTTTCTTGATCAACTTGTAAATGACCTATATGGATATATTTTAAGTATAAAAAATCTACTTGCACTCAATTTTACTTGTAAAATAACAATCCCCATGAGTGTCTTGAAATTAAGTTCTCATTTCCATAAAAGTAAAAAATGTAAGTAGGAGAAAAGTTGGGAAGAAAAGGCAAAAACTGACTAGCCTAAGTGTGCATGGTATTCAAAGTGAAACATAAGTGCGGGAGAGTGAGAGCATTTAATTTCAATATGGAACAGTATTTTTTTCAATGGTAAGGAGTAGTAATGTTAAAGTTGAGTAATGGATTTAATAATACACACAAGACATGTCTTTAATGGTTAGTAGTAATTATAATATCTAGCATCCACTTCAAGAATGATGAAGTGTGTTGTTTGTGTAACTAGCTTGTTATAGAGCAGTCAATATTGGAATCAGAGGAAGATGATGGTGATGCTGCTGGAACTTCTCCAAAGGAAGAGACAAAAAGTTCACGTAGGCCTAATCGGCCCAAACGACAAGCAGACACTCCATCCACATAGAACTTTCACCCTGTATGGTGTTAAATGGGTGTACAACCTTAAGGTAAGTATATTTTCTACGTAGGTAAATTCTGGAGCTGGTTGTCTTGGAATTTATCTGTAATAATTGATTTTAATGGACGCCAAAACACTTCATAAATTATTATTTTGTGCCCCCCCCTGCTGAACCTTGATGATGTATTTGAGAATCACTACAACCCCCAAGAATTTGGAGGAGTTCGGGTAAATGTTAGAATTTTGTGTTAATACATTTCTTTTATTATGGATTATGAAAATGTATTTCAACTGATATATTCGATGGAATTTATGGCGGTGAAATTGAGCTACAAATACGCAAAGAATATATACAGTGCATTTTTTGTTTAGAATATATAGTGTACTTCTTTGGTGTGTCAAGTAGGAAGTCAAATTTTCTACTTCTATTTTTAGAGAATATGTTACTTTCCATTCTAAACTCAGTCTTTTTATAAGGTAAAAGTTCTGTTCAAGAAGTATCGGAGTTTATACTTGGAAAAGGACAGGTAGCAACATGAAACAGAGATAGAAAATGAGACACTTCATTTAAGCCTGCCGTTTGCAAGCATTGATGGATTTGAGTCTGCTGGTTTCTACATTCATTCCATTCCTCAGGCCATTTTGCTTTCCATTTGAAATGTTGGCAATTTGGCATGTACCATGGTTAATATTTCACTTACAGTATCATTATATCCATCATTCTTTATCTCAGTTATTTTGTACCAAATCCGGTGCGCTGCACTAAAATCATACTTGTTATATATCAGTCTTCTCTAATCCCTTAGAGTATCCTTATATCCATCATTCTTTATCTCATACTTGTTATATATCAGTTCCATGAGCTGAGGAAGCATTGTTAAGACATAGTCAGAATCTTGCACAGTAATATTACTCTCGTTCAGGGACCCTAGCTCCTTTTCCTTGTTTAATGAAACTGATTTTACTGCGATCAGAACCTTATAAACATTTACCAAGCATCCGAAAAAAGAAAAATCTGAAGCTTAAAAAAGGCATGCATGAACCCAATGTATTACAATATGTCCATAATAATGAGAGCGTTGGCTCCAATTTTAACTAACATGCTTTAGAATAAGAAATTTGGTTTGACGTAGGAGGAACATCAGCTACTGCAAGGTACTGTTTAAGAGTGCGGTGATCTTTGAGTGAAACTTGGACGACGACGACGACTTCCAACCATGCTGCTGTTTTTTGTTGTGGTGGCTTCATTACGGATAATAGGTGAGAGCTTATATTTGTACTTAAATGGAGAATCATTCTCAGAAGTAGTAGAGTAAAGATCAAAGTGGTGCATTGGCCGTAGCCTTGGTGTGCTCATTGATCTAGCCTTTGCTTCCACTGATTTGGTGGACGCCATATAAGCTGGAAGCTGCTGCTGCTGCATGGTATTATTTGCTGCAGCAGGAGACGACGCCACACTGATGGAGTGCTGCCTTTTGTGGTGGTGGTGGTGGTGAAATGACAGCCTTCTTCCTCCATTTTGCGCTCTTGGAGATACCAAACTACTCATCTCTCTCATTCCCCCGCTTGTGCAAACACCATCCAGAGCTTTACCGTCTTCTTCTATTTTAGCTAGCTCCGAATCTACCCAGTCTTCCAGCCAGTATCTTCTCGTATTAACTTTACTTTTTTCCGACTCTGAAGTTGACTTCTGGATATATATTGTATATTTTTAATTATTTTTTGATTAAAAATACTAAATCTTTGATATGAAATTAGGGGCATGGTTGGTCAACCAGTGTTGCAGTTAATTAGTGTTTTGATTGGCACATTTTCAATGCCATTAGCTCTTCTGTTACATTGGTTAACAGCTTTTCGTTTCATGGTTAATTGAAAACTGAAAAATTTACATCGGTTAACAGGTTTTCGTTTCATGGTTAATTGAAAACTGAAAAAAATTAAATAATACCCTGTAATTATTTTATGAAAAAAATGTGAGTTGATTTGAGCATAAAAAGTAAGCACAAGAGCTTCATACCTTATTAAACATAGACCAACTTTAGAATAGCCTTGTTTATTATGCAATCTGACTTGCTAATTTTCAATTTTTTTTTAAAGTACTATTTTCGTTAACCAAGGGGAATTTTGAAAAGTGAGGTTATCTTGTGGTTATTCGGTTCTGGTGTTGATGAGAATGTAATTTAGGTGCATATGTATATATATATATATATATATATATATATATATATATATATATATATATACAGACCCGATGACTTAACCAGTACTCCTTTATACGTTCTCTCTTGAAGGAGGCCTCCCTCTTGCTGAAGGACATGGCATTTGCATCTTCCTTTGACACAGCTCTGTGGTCCCACATTTTGTGGCTGCTGTTCAAATCTATCTGTGTGTGTAAGTTGACTTTAGTCATTATGTAAGGTTTCAATAAAAAATGTCCAATCCATTGTAGAAGCTAGGGCTTATTTTGTTACATATCTCATGTTGAACAAATTCGTAGTATTAAAAAGAAGTATAAACTAACATATAAACCTTAGGGTCTTGTGTTACTAACCTTAATGTCCTTCTCATTTGAAATGTTTGCGATGATGTAGCCTCTTTTTCGGACTTGTGATTGGATGTCTACGACCGATTGCAAGCGTTGGAGGGTCAAAACAGCTTGGCGTCGAACAGCTTGGCCTCGAACCATAGCTTGAAGCCTTACTATTCCTTTCATCGCCCGCAAAGCTTTTCTCCCCTGTGGCGTGCAAAATACTAAGTTCTGAAGTTGCTTTCATTGTGAAACAATAGTAGTGGTGATCTTTGATTATATTGAATGAATTAAATGTGTTCATCTCTCCCACCAGCTAGGCCATAATATAAAATGCAGATCGAGAACTGCAACAAAATTCATGCAAGTAACATTGAACTTACGAGATAACCACGAAAAGCCGTCTGAATCTTAATGGCAGCGAGGATTCTGAGCTCGAATAGATCTTGGACTTCATCCTCCTGCTGCCACTGCTTATGCTGATTGTCAGTACTTGTTGAAGTCGCTTCTTTTCCACTTCGTTCCGAGAACAACCCTAGCATCCATTTCTTTCTCCTCCCCTGCCAGGCCAGCAAATGCCATATGTACAATCATTTATTCAAGGTTAGACTTAGAGATATAATAAGTGCATCCATCAGATAGATAATTAATATACTGTTAGTTACATGCATGACCATTTTTATTTTGTTTTAATACCTTTTCTGGTCTGAAATCTGCCTCTGAAATGAAAAATCTCTTCAAAATGGTTGTAAGCCAGTTGTTCCTTTTTGACATGGCTCTCAGCTAACATTACTTGGCTAAAGTAATAACATAAAATGCATAAGGTTGGAATATGGTGATGAGGATAACTAATGGATTGCACATCAACCGAGTGTGTGTATAGAGAAGAGGCTCAGATCAGAAAACAAAGGGTTTCTCCTGTCATGTGGGAATGAATGTTCTGGTTTACAAGTTACAACCAAAACAAACCGAAAGCGGGTTTACGTATTCTTAGGATTGTAAACCTCATCCATAAGAATGCAGTCTTTGTGGAGGTACCCCAGAACAAATCCCTGCATGAAACAAAACACAGTATTTTCCAGGAGAGGAAAAGGCGTCCAGCTAGAAAAATAGTTGCACAAAGTGAAGTGTTCCTCACTGGTTTTAATCTATAATTCTTTATATGTGTGTGTATCATGTAGCTCTAATAAGAAGAGTGATGTGACGAATGCCGTGGCACTATTTACTCATTTTCATGCATTATTTTAAAGTTTATTTGGTACATTTTTCTGTGATAAAAGAAAACTTTGGTTGACTTACCAAATTGTCACCGTATTTTTTATTTGATCTCTTTTTATTTGATCCTCATATACACACACATGTCCACTTTACTCTCCCGTTATTCAAATTTTATCTTATTTGCATTAAACATATATTTTATGACACTTTTACATTTTAGTTGTAATTTCAGTTGTGTTTCCATTTTCCAAACAAGTTTATTTCATTGAGTAAATATTTCAATTTCGGAATCTTCTAATTAGCTCTAGGTAATAGTCTCTAAAAAGATAGTAGCCTCCGTTTAACTCATTTTTTCAAACATAGCCTATTGCACTTTTACAAGAGACATAAAAGTTCAATTAAGGATGTTTTTATTGGACTTATTTCAGTTCCATATTAGATCATATCAGACTTAATGATCAGACCATATTTTGACAGTTATAAAATACACATATAATAGAAATCTACAAGATCAAATTAGATTAGATTTCTAATTGTAAATTAGAATTATAATTCAATTTAAAACACCCTAATTTTAAATTTGCCATCGCATCATTTATCACATTTTCATACTTCAGGTACTTCTAGAGTCAATGAGTCATTATATCTCAAATTCAACACACTACACACATTTTCACTCCTTATAATAAACACTTTTCACATTTAATCCAAAATCTCTCTATATAAATATAATATGCATACAAGTATGATTGTATATTGCGTAGTGTATTATATCATAGAGTAGATCACTTTGACTCTTTCATTACGTATTTACGTACGGGGTCAAATTTGCACTCTATTCCACTTTCAAGATGATCAATATCACATATTTGCACTCGGCACTCCAATGGTGAGAACTTGAACAATATTTTTTCTTCCAAGTTGGAGCTTGTTCCCTATAGTTAACATATTTTTCTAATTTTGGTTGCAAAGCTGAATGATTTTATAAATCATGCGTAAATTCACATTTTGAAGAAAAATGGGGTACAAACTTGATATACAGCCGGGCTTTTGAAGGTGTACAAACATTAAAATCTTTGAAATCAGCAGTGGGATTGAGCTGACAGTACAAAAAAATCCGCGTTTTGTCACGGATTTTTGTCACGGATTACAGCCGTGACAAAGTTGTCACGGGCTTTGTCATGGAAAATTGGGATTTGTCACGAAAACGTGTTGTCACGGATAGGCCCGAGACAAAATCCGTGACAAACCTCAATTATTGATTTTCGCACGGCAACCTTTAATAATACAGTACGAAAAAGGGGTTGTCACGGATAAATCTGTGACAAATCCGTGGCAAATTTTTTTATATATCCCAACCCCATCGTCCATTACAATTGCAAGAACAACATTTATCAGTTCAAAAATTCGTAGATTCAAGTGATGTAGTATCGGTTTAAACTATACGGGTAACAGTGGCAGATATGCTTTGTTCATGTAAACCCCACCCAAAATTTTAAAAATACATGTTAATGGTAAATAAATTGTTATGTAATATCTTAATGGTAAAAAGAAATTGAACTAGTTGAATATATATAGTTGCACTAGTGATGTGTAAAAATTGTTCAATATATATAGATGGAAAAATTCAAAATATATTCTCCTGGCTACATAGATTATTGTAGTGGGAACTGTGGGATAATAGTTAATATAAATTAGGTTAAGGCTGTGATACGATGTGAGATAATTGGGAAAGTCGTACTCCAATAGGAGTTCTGGCAGGTATATTTATAGTAAAATAAGAGTTGTCAAAATACACAAGGATTCCTAATTTATATTAACTATTAGGTAGGAGGATAAGGAGGATTGGTACATCCTAACATATCTCGATACATTATTAATACAAAAATACTTTTCGTACACATTTTTTGTGTATACACTTTTACACATTGTCCGTGTAAGCTTTTTTTTGTCTGTACAGACAAAATGTATTTTGACAAAAACACGTTTTGTCTGTACAAAAAAAGTCTGCATACATAGTTTGTAAAAGTGTGTACCCCAACGTCCCCAAATCCAACTCTTATTAATACAGTAGTCTGTAGAGTATTAACGACGTGTATTTCTTCTAATAATGCAATGCGTTTTTTTGCAATGCTCCAATAGCATATCAAAAACTATATATATATACATGCATGCATAGGGTACTCCTAAACAGCTGTCCTTCCACTAAGGGTTTCTAATTTTCACTCGTCCTTTTCCTGATATCCCTTCCCGTGTGTCACATTATAGGACTTCCCCACTTTTATTCAATAATTAGTACTTCTATGTGGGTGCATATAATATATACCTTTGTCACACAATTAAGTTCTTCCATGTGTCAAATTTTATTAATTTTGACCACTAATTATTTAAAAATTGTATTACTTTATAATTGAATATTTCACCCGAAAACAATCTCTATGCTTTAGTATAGGGATTGCTGTAGGTGAGAACTTTTGCGGCACTAGGGCAATGTTGATGTTGTATATATAATACATTATTGAAATGTTAGTTTATTATAAATTTTACAAGTATATATTTTAATACTCCCTGAAAGTTTGAGAGTATAGAGCTCAGAAATACCTTCGCTTTGATTAATTACGGCTCTCGTAACTCATTACGAATAAAAAGTTATGATTTCTGAAAACTCATCACTAACTAAACTTAAAAAGAGTAAAATTTGATTCGTAATATTGATTGTATTCCCAAATAAATCCTATATCTTACTGCTATGAACTATAGATAAGAAACCCTTCGACTAAACCTAGGCATGGACCGGTTTCGGGCCGGATCGGACACCGGGCCGGTCCAAACCAGGCTTTTTTATTGGGGCTTAAGGCCCGAAACCGGCCCGGGATTCTACCAGGCCCGGGCCAGACCGAACCCGGGTCGGGTAGTGTTTTTTTCGTTTTTCTAATTAATTCCTACCCCCACCCCACACCCCACATGCACCCCAAATCCCTCCAAAATACCCAGCCCACCACGTCTACCACCCCAGAGTTTTAAAAAAAATATTTTTGTGGCCCGGGACCGAACCGGCCAGGCCGGTTCCAAAGAACCTGCAGCCCGAGCCCGCCTTCAAAACACCTCCGGGTCGAGCCAGTCCCGCACAGTGGCGGGCCGGGTCGGTTCCCGGACCGGGCAGACCGGAACCGGTCCATCCCTAACTAAACCCATATAAAATAATTTTATGATATATATGAGATGTATATTAAATCTATATCCCTGTTATGATTTAAACTAGCATTTATCTTAGTTACTTAAGAATGAGTTAAGATACATTCAACACGGTATTGTCTAAAAATGATTTACAATTTTCTTTCTGCATGTTGTTGAGTTTCGCCCCCTCGCGTCGGGTCATTTTTCTGGCTCCTCCATTGTTAATATAGTACTCTATACATATACTTCATATAATACTTATGTATATATACTCCATATAATACTCCATTGAGGTAGTATATACTACGTATATATATTCCATATTCCATAATCCATATAATACTCCGTGTCAAGTTGTCAACCAACATGAGAACAAGTTATATTTTCAAATAAACTACCCATCATAGTGGTGTACCCCCACCCCACATGGATTCCAAGTCATATACACCCATTGGCTAGCTACCAAATTCGTTACCAACAAATAAAAATGCATCACACTACAAAAAACATCTGATTTGTCACGGATTTTGTCACGGACCGTAGTTCAAAAAATCCGTGACAAATGATTTTTGTCACGGACTTTGTCACGGACCGAATCCGTGACAATAGGGGCGTGACAAAGTTGTTGTCACGGACAGTAATCCGTGAGAGAGTTTGTCACGGATTTGTCACCGCCATCGTCCGTGACAAAACACTTCACCGGAACTCCACCGCCTTTTATTTGTCACGGCCAAATCCATGAATAATTTTTTTTATATTTTAAAAAAAATTAATTATTTGTCACGGAAAAATCCGTGACAAGTTTTTGCAAATTTAAAAAAACAAGTTTTCGAAATAGAGTGGGCGGGTATTTGAAACGAGATGCAAAATTCAAATTTTTTATTTTGTCACGGACATATCCGTGACAAAAAAAATGATTTTTTTTGAAAAATTTCGAAACAAGTGGGCGGGCACTTTAAAAATTTCGAAAATATTCAAAATTCTGAACTTGTCACGGATATAATCCGTGACAAAGGTTTTTTTTTTTTTTTAAAATTACGTTATTTTCAGCGTTTTGGGTATTTTAAATAAAATGAATTTATATTTTGTCACGGAACCCTCCGTGACAAAAGTTTTTTTTTTTAAAAAAAAATTTAAAAATTCAGCGCATTTTGAAAGTTTATTTTAAAATTTCAAAAGTTTATTTAATAACCATTTTATAATCATTAAAATTTAGGCGCCACGATGTTTATACTTAATAAACATTGTTTATAATAAATTAAACATATTTTAGAACCAATCAAACCATCATTATATAACACAAATAATTAATATCCGTACAGTAACCATCAAAATTTAAAAATCATTAAAATGTCAATAAACTACTTATTACAAACCATCAATGGTCATCATAATCATCATCATCATCATTAGGTTCCTCACGATGATCGGGTTCCCTTCCGTGGCCACGGCTGCCGCCACGATGGCTGCCTCGACTGCCACCACGGCTGCCAGCCCGGCTGCTGCCACGGTATGCTTGAGCTCCGAGAGTCAATAATGAGGTATCATCATAATATGCATATGAAAAATTGTTGGAGATATGTCTATAATTAGCAAAACCCCTACTGCCCATACTGTCCATACTACCCATATTGCCCATATTGCCCGTGAAGGGAATTTGTGGGGTAGTCTCGGGGTGCTGTATGTGCATGGGTGGACGGTAGGTGGCGTTGAAAATACGCATTTGTCATTCCATCTCTTCCAACCTTTCTCTCGTTCTTCTTGCCTCTTCATCCCGTATCCGAGCTTCTCCATCCCGCCTTCGAGCCTCTGCTTCACGTTCCTCCAATTGTTTCTCGATG